AGATTTTACGTCGGACTACACCATAGCCGACGTAAATTTACGTCAGATCTAGCACTGGCCGACGTAAATTTACGTCGGACATGGTGTAGTCCGACGTAAAATCTTGCGTCATTTGTTAACATTTCAGGCCCTTTTTTACGTCGGGCATAGGGCGTGTCCAACGTAAATTTACGTCGTCTCTCACATGCGACGTAAATTTACGTCTCCCGCATTAACGTCGGAGCCTTTTTTGACGTAAAATCCTTAAAATAGCCGACGTAAAAGACCCCTTTTGTACTAGTGTCGGCCAACCTCTTTAAGAGATACCTAATTAATGTAAATCAAAAGAAAATGGATTGATTTAGTAAACTTATCCACTTTATCCAAGTAACATCTAAACCTTTTGTAGTCTTGAACAACCTAATTAATCACAAAATTTATGAATATGCTAAATTGTAGGTTTTTATACACTATCCTATCTTTCTAACCACTACATAGACAACATTCCATATCATTGAATAATTGATACAAATGCCTCTGATGTAAAATAAATTAAAATTGGTCTTCTCTGCATCGATTAATTTTATTAATTGATGTAGAGTGTGGGAATTCAAACCTCATATCCTCACTAAAAATCTAGCAAAACCGACTAATGCAAGCTCTCATCCCAAACAATAGTGAAAGCCTCCCTTTCCCCATCAAACCATGAAAGGTAGTGCAAAAATGGCATTTTTGCATTCCTAGCATGCATACAAAAATTCATTTATCTTCAAGTAATTTTTCACTTCAAGTAATTTATCCCTGCTCCAGTTATATCTTTGTGTATATATATATATATATATATATATATTCACAATTGTTCTACTCTAGCTCAAATAAGGCTGGAGAATACATGTGATATAGAAAAATAATATATATATATATATATATAATTGGTTCCTCCTTCACCAAATTTAAAGTAAATTAAACTCTTTCTTTTCATATGAACACTTACCTATTTTTTATTATTTATATCTTTAATCACACAATTTTTATTCTCAAATAACACTTTTCGGTCACAATTGAGCATCACTTAACAAATTTTGATTAATATTATTAGGAACGTATAAACATTAGATTTTAATTTTAAACCTGAATAACTTTTAATAATAACAATTGTTCTTTTGCCTTTTTATTGCCATGTGTGCTTCATATTCCTCATTTGGACTTAAAAGATATCAATTTGTTAAGTTCTTTAAATAACTCTTGGTCAAAATTCATACAGTTTGTACAACCACTATCAATAAGTCAAACCTTTGAAAGGGTTTTTCGCGTTTAAAGCATGACATTGGGAGTAGTTATTGTTCTTATGATTATTATTATTATTATTATTGATTTTCAACAATGTTTACTTTTTCTTGCTG